GAGAAAAACATTGCTTTATAAACCTTAGGACTAAATAAAAATAATTTATATTTTGTGTATGAAAGCATTGTAATGTTTACTGATAATTTGCCAAATTTCGTTAACATTCGCTTACTAATTTAAAAGTTATAGGATGAAAACTATAGCAAGCACAAAATGGTTTCGAGGTCACATTGACCAACCCCATATTGAAAGAGTTAAGTAAGGTGAAAAACCTCGATAGTAATTTATTGTGGCTCCATGTATTGGGTTCAAATGATAATTTAGCTGTTTTTGACACGTACAGTCACTGTTTGTTTATTATGTAATAAGATATTATCCCTGATTCAGTATATAATTATATTAATATTTTTTTGAATATTGAAAGAGCTTGTTGTAAATATGATAATAAATACATATAAAAATTAATATAATAATAAAAGATATTAATAACATAAAATCCCAACTTGATTGGAAATTGAACACAAGACTTCCATGCGATAGTTAAGCACTATAACCACTACAACTAGCCTTTGTAATCAAATGTTAACAAATAATTCAAATCCCTAAAGTAAACTATGTTGTGTTTTTTCCAAGTATTGTAATATCATGCCTTAAACATGATGAGATAATAATTTTAGAAAGTTTTAAAAAATTTCTACCCAAATGTGATTTGAACTCAAGACTTCTGCTTGAGATAAACCACTGAGCCAATTCTAATGCTACCAGTAGAGAGTCCAGCATTATGGACAAAGGGAGTGTTATGAACAGAGAGTGGCTTTTATATATACATATAAAAGAGAGGGAGAGAGAGATAACTACACACACACGTCATTGTATGAGAAAATTATAATGGAGCACAACAGGAAATACAAAATCAAAACAGTGTTTTAATTGCGTGAAGTAAAACACAATAAAAATAACTAACAATTTTATTGACTATTTAGAAACTGAAGAAATAATTTTCAAAATATTTTATTTTTTAAACAAACATTATATTTATAAAGTTATTTATTAGAAAATAATTTTATCACAAAAACTTTAAATTAAAATTAAATGTATTGGAAGAATTTATTATGTTCCAAACAGAAGAGATTTATTTCTTGGATAGATCTTTTTTTTGATTAAGAGTTCAAGGGAGAAATTACCATTATATATAATGCTGAATTTTGAGTGAGTTATCAGATGTTCATTTTCATACTTGTGATTTTGGATTACTGACTGTAGTGAATTTAAAAGAATGTTATGTGACATTAGTGATACTCCCATGTGCTAGTGGATGTGGATGGGAAAATGTCATTGAATGTTTTCAATATAGGCAATCTTTCAGTCCCATGGTGATATGTGACGTTTATAGACAATCCAAGAGAAAAGAGAGGCAGGCAGAGAATCCTTTGTTTTAGAGGTGTTTTAACATAAAGAATGGTTTGAAAATGACAGTTTTTCCTGTGAGTATAACTTTGTTATTAAAGTGTTAAGTTGTTTCGAAAGTATGATACTTTGTTTTCCCAGGTAGAGGATAGTTTTTGAAACTTGGCATTTATCAGTTATGAACATTTTTATGAATGTTATAAACATTTTCATTCAGAAACATCCTGGTTAAGATTTCAAACATTTTCTTAGGTATCCATTATGCAATATATTTCATGGAGAAAAACACT